TCAAAAGCTTGACATCTTAAGCAAAAATGATCCAAGAATGTTTTTCCTTTAATATATAGTGGATATTTGGGATTTATTTATATAAAATAAAGAAATGCTGTGTAAAAATGATAGTGTATTTTGTAGTAAATCTCGCAAAAACTTATGTTGAATTTTTTTGAGATATTTCAAAAAATACCACTTTTCAAGTGCCACTTTACAAAAATGACACATTTTTACAATCTTTATAAAAATGCCACTTTTTCAAAATTATTTATTCATTATATCATTTATGTTTGAGTTAAATATGTTGTATTAGGGTTTAATTTTGAGGGTTTTAGGGGTCAAAATTTTTTTTAGGGTTTGGAATTTTAAGATTTATGCTCTAAAAAATCATAATTAGTGGTATTTTTGCAAATGGACACCAAAAGTGGCATTTTTGCAAATATCCTTTTTTTTTTAGCTACAAAACTAAAATTTTCAACGTGGATGTATATTTTCCATACTAAAGTATATTATATTACTATTAGATATAACGAAATTACAAACATTCAATTGTAAATATTTATCTTCTATATATAAAATTATAAACGAAATTGGTTATATATTAATACTTATCATATTTTATGAATGAATATTTATCAAAAAAATGATAATAACTTGGTGAGAAAACACATCACACGATTACACGATATGCAAACTTTTTTGATTTTTTTTGGGTGTAAATAGAAAGATCTATGAGTATCTTTAATTGGAAGATTTTCTAATGCACAATTATAGCATATATTTAACTACCAATTTGTTACGAAAATAAAAGAATTAAACATTTTGCTATAGATAAACAATGCTCAGCAAAATATGTAAAAATATGTAAAGAAATGCTTTCCGATTATTTTTATGTGTAGAGATTGGTTGGGTTTTAAGTGTTGTCTACAATCTTAATTTTTCTTAAAGCATCATTATGTTACCAATCATGTTGTAGTTTTAATTATTTAACTTTCAAACCTACACTTTTTTTTACCAATTATGTTTTTGCTTTAATTTTCTAAGTTACAGCTTCTTTAATTTTTTTTTTTAAGTTTCTTTTGCTGTAACATGTAAAATCTTACAGCCTCATTTTTATGGCTGTACAAACTCTTATTTTTTTAAAAAATTCACGTTATACACTTTTATTATGATTATTTAGTTAAAAATTCATAAAAATAAAGTTTTGAGAGAAAAAAATATATATAGAAGGATTTTAAAACAAGATTGTGACGAATCTATGAAAAATATAAAATCAAAAGTATTATGAATTATTCTATCAATCACTAAAGTATTTTTATATTTTAAATACATTTACCGAAATTATNTAATTTTAAAATGATATTTANNTTTTTTTTAATTGTCCATTTTAAAATNATTTAGAGGTTCATTTTTATTGCATTGAAAATTACATAAAGTTTCTATAAACTCGATTATTTGTATAATTAGTACAAAATATTTTATTTTCATAAAATTAGCCGATTTAATTAAAACTATAGCACATATCTTAGGTTTGCCAATCATGTTTTTATTTTAAAATAGTTACACCTACAACTTATATTTGTACAAAAAAGTTTGTAGCAAAAAAATCTACAGCAAAAAAAATGTACAACTAAAGCCAAAACACTTACCGAAAAAATTCTACAGTAATTAATCTATAGCTACAGCCGAACCAATCACCAACAGTGTCATTGTAAAGTGTTTGATTAATAGTATAGTAGCTTTTAATAATAGATAAATTTTATTAAATAAAAAAACTGAGAAAATTTGAGAGCTTGACACATCATCAAAATGTATCTCTTTTAATATATAGAGGATAATTTAACATTCATTTA